AGAGAAGACTGAGAGGGGATCTCATCAACGTGTATAAGTATCTGAAGGGGGAGTGTCAAGAGGATGAGGCCAGACTCTTCTCCGTGGTGCCCAGCAACAGGACAAGAGGCAACGGGCACAAACTGAACCACGGGAAGTTCCACCTAAACCTGAGAAAGAACTTCTTCCCTGTGAGGGTGACAGAGCATTGGACCAGGTTGCCCAGAGAGGTAGTGGAGTCTCCTTCGCTGGAGATATTCAAAACCCGTCTGGATGTGATCCTGGGCAATATGCTCTAGGTGACCCTGCTTGAGCAGGGAGGTTGGACTAGATGATGTCCAGAGGTCCCATCCAACCTAAATGATTCTGTGATTCTGTGATAAGTGGCTCTTCTGCACTCTTCCACAGCAGAGCGACAAATGCAAGCAAAACGATGGTTAATCGGTAATCATCCGTGTTTCTCTTAAATTTTAAATGCTTTTGCTGCCAGGTCAGTATTGATTTTAAAGCGCTCTCATTAACAAATTTACTCAAATCCATGTGTAAATAAAAGACAAGATCCTGGCTCTGGATATTCTGATTCGGGCAAGGCATAAAGCGCTCTCTCAGCGCAAGCTATAAAGACTAAGCAAGTGCCTTTAATATTTGGATGCCACTGTGCTTGAGGGAAAAATTAGCAATGCGTGTGCCGTTTTGCTGTGCGCACCCAGACCTTCAGTCATGTAAAAAGTCCTGCTCCCAACGTCCTCCACAGGAAGAGGAGAAGCCTGTGTTCTGGCTAGGCAGTGGTTGCAGGAGAGTTCCTTGTACCAGGATGTGTTTTTCCAATGGGTAGTGTGTTCATGCTTGTTTGTCTGTTCTTCCAACCATGTTATATTGGTTTTTTTTATGTCAGGAACTTGATCTGCAACTGGACAATTGAAAAACCAACGTGAAGAAATGCAAGAAAGAAAGATGCTAAAATGTGACCCTGGTATTATTTAGCCATGTTAATCCCAAATGTAATACTGTGGATTTAATTGGAATTACACGAGGGATTAGTTCAGCTGGTAGATGATCACACTAATAGCTGTATGGCTTCAGGAGTTGGTTGAATTGGTGCTGCTTGCATTTTTCCGCCCTTCCAACCTCCAGCCTCATTCTCTTACCTCCGTGTTTTACCTGTTCTTCCTTCCCCACGTTGGCCCCCATGCCGCCGCCTCCAGCAGAACTTCATTTGAGGAACTCTGTTTCTTCCACTGTCTCTCCTTTTATCCCCCCCCACCCCGAGTCTCCCATTTTCTGTTTTAAGGGTCCTTCTCCCATTTATGTCAAGAGCTCTGCAAAATCCCATCTTTTTCCTTTTCTGGCTAGGGGCTTTATTCAGGGCACCAACTTTTTAAATTCCACTGGAAAGAAGGGCAGAGATGACGTGAGTATTTTGCAGTGAAAGACATGAATAGCTGATGTTGATTGTGTAATGACCAAATTCCAGATGACAATTACTCCTACTACCAAAGCAGGCTCTGCATGCTAGATCTAGAGGGGGTCCTTGCTCTTCTGGACACGATGAGAAGTAAATGATCTCCAGAGGGAGAAATAGCAATGTTTGTATAACTGTGACGGCACTTAGCTAGCTTTGTGGATGGATGGGTAGCGATCAGAAAACGGGAGGAAGTGGTCAGAGGACAAGTGTAATGCTGTATCAGGCAGTTCCTCACCAAGCGCAGATAAAAGAACCCCTAACTATGATGGGCAGAGCTGCACGCCCATGGGGAGCATTTCTTCCTTCATAGCTGGTTCCTAGATCATCTCAAGGATGCTTTATGCTTTCCCTCCACATTGCTGAACTGCAAGATGGACTGAAAATTGAAGTCCCAGGATTTAACTTTTCTATTAGTGGAAAATTCCATGGGTTGTGGATTTTGTGAAAAGCCAGAAGGCGTTAGTCTCTGTTCCCTTGCAAGTCATCTGATGAATTTTATGCACTGTGTATTTCTTTCTAACCTTCTTAGCGTTTTTGGAGAGAATTCGCCAAGCAGTCGAGGGCTAGCTTACAGAGCTGTTTGGTTTTGGTAGTATCGTTATCCTTCAGAGGTGATCTTACAGTTACTGACTTTTTGTGGGGAATCCCATTCCTTCTCTTTGGCTTCCCCTGTCCTTGAATGTACGTGTTGTTCCTGGATGCAAGCAGGAAGTATCATTACTATAGAGGACATGCCGCTGAGAGGAGATGAATTTTACCCTAGAGGCGCAGTTGGGCTGAACACCTATTTAGGCAGCAGCAGCCTTTCAGTGAAATAGGTCCTTTGTTTCTGTGCCCTGGCTGCAACTCTGACAAGTCAGTAAAGAAGTCAGGTTATTTACTGGATCCTTGTATGAAGGCTGGATTCAAAGAACAGAGCCAAAACTAGTACGGCTAGTCCCAAACAGTCAACCTGAGTTTATAAATAACTAGGCTTCAGGGAATTTCAGATTTGCATCTTAACTTTGCATTAAAGGCCACAAGTCAGAGCGCTTAGATGTTTTGTGCAGCAGTACAAGTTTTTATCATCTGTCACAAGATACTGAAGGAGTCTGAAATGCTCTTTCTGTGCTGTGACTCATTCTTCAGACATGCAAGATAGAGAATTGAGTTGTTGCTTAGTCTCAATCTAAGATCTTTATTTCATGGCTTTACTTCAATGCCTTATAGCAAATACTGTTGAGCTGATGTTAACTCCCCCATTTAATGGCAGAAATGCCCAGCTGCTGTATATGGAAGGCCATAGGTTCACGTGAAATTATCTTAATCAACTCATTTGCACGGTTCATGAGCTAGGTCATGGCCAACATTCACGATGAAGAGCAAGCTCCCAGCCTATTAATTGATTAATTTATCATTTTTATATGGGCAATTAATGGGTCCAGTTCAGCCATAAAAACTATCAGACAAGACTGCTACCGTTGGCAGTGGGGCTCCCCTTTGACTTGTACTTTGCTGTAGACCTTTCTACCAAAAGGAGATGTTGCACGTGCTCCACTTCCAGCACCTCTGCCCCAATGGCTGCCTTATCTGAGGTACTGTGCAAAGCACAGTACAGTGGTGTCTTGCTGTTTTTCTTCTCATGCACAGAAATGTGTGTGTGGGGGGG